ATATAATGATAGGGATGACGATATGTTTTATAAAGATATTTTGACCTTAGAAACCAACAGTTACGGCCGCAGAGAAATGCTTAAAGGTTACTTAAGGAGTGAATATTTAATTTTAAATATATTTTTAAGGAACTCTTTTAATAAAGACTCCGAGTGCAGTAGTCAATCCTTAGTATTTAACCACGACAGTATGCGAAATATTCGCATTTGTTAAACGTTTAATAGTCAAAACAAATTAAGTAAGTTCACATCTGTTAATTGCGTAGTTTATTCAGTTATGTGGCTTCAGTAATATTGGCGCCTTCCGCAAGTAAACATACAAATAAATTATAATTGGAGTCCCGGAGCATCGAGGTCTGAATACAACCGCTGTTCACTGAAATGAAGGTCAAATAATAAACTTTGACTCGTAGACATATTGAAGTATGTAGAGTAAACAAGATTGTATGTCACATTTTATATATGATAGGAATCCAAATATTTACCGTACACATCTTACTAATATTGTAATGCGAATGTTTAGATGGATGGATGGATGTTTGTTAGAACATACCTCCGGAACGTCTCAGTCTGGAAGAACACATAGGCTACGATGTTTTTTTTAAATTACTAACAGAGTCGCAGGACATCTAGTATTTTCATAAATTTCATTTTAAATATTTAAAAAAAAATATTACCAAAATTTTTAATAATTCCAAATAAAATATCCAGGCTTTTAATAGGATAATAAAAACAGCGAGACTCGATCCCACGACCGTGTGATTTGATGTCCGAGACGCATCAAACTATTGGCGTTTCTTCTTAAAATCTGATAAAATATTTGGAATTCTTATATAAGTGAGATATATATCTCTTGTCTATAAGTTCTAATTTTTCAGTTAAATAGCCACGAACTGAAGTAGACAATTGACAGGTCTCTGAATGAAACCATTGTCCTATTTAGAGTCGCATTAAACTTTTATGCAAAGACATCTACGAGATCCAACTATCGTACGTATAATAAAACTTTATCTGTGGTTTTAAAAACTTTTATAGTAATTCTGAGTTTATGACCTGAAACGAAGATATTTAATACGAACGAAAACATTTTAAATCTTCTTAAATGGAATCTTATATATAAAATTCTCGTGGCACAATATTACCTATTCGAAACGGCTAAACCGATTTAAACAGGACTTGGACTGGAAGGTAACTGATATATGTTTATAATTTTTTTTTAATTCCGCGCTGAAGTGTTTCCTAATCACTATTGATATGTAACAGTAAATTACATCACCATTGCTATCTCTTTTTTTCAAAGATAATGAAAGAGATGCCAATATGTTTTATATACCAGTGTATTGATATTTAAAATGCAGTGATAAAAGCAGTATCCTAATTGCAATTCATGTGGGTACCGGCTAGCGGGCGCCGACTGTGTTGATAGTGAACAGCCCTGCACAATGACCCAATTCTCGTTCGCAGTCCGAACGTCGCTCCCCTGACCCCATTCTATTTGCAGTTGTTTCTACGTGCGTTAGTTGAGTACAAGGAATGAACTAAAATCATATGATATACCAATTTGAGTTCTAAAATCTGATACAATAAGTTTATATTTGAATACAGTAGAAACGATATCGATTAAAAATACACATCGGTTAAGTTAACTGCTATGAAGCTAAGTACTGACTTGCCTTGTAAACAATACAAGATTAGTTTAAAGTCTATCGGTTATAACGACTAATTATTGTTGGTCGCTTTGATGTTGATATACCCGGTTTGGAATGTATAGTGTTAAATACAGATTGAACATTAAAATTGGTCATAAAACCATATCTTATATTATAGATTTAAAATTTTAAATGTATTATTTTTGCCTCATGGCAACATTCTTTGTACCACAACATTTTTACCGCCATTTCTTCCTTGTGACACTGGTTAGTTATATGTTATCTATAAATAAAAAATGAAACACTAAAATTATGTTTTATTATAATGAACAAAGTGGTCCTTCGAGCCGGATATGAACCAGCGACCTATGGATTGTTTTAATTTAATTGACACGTAGATTTCATAATTCTTTATATCGTTAATTTTCTTTGTGTCTTTTGATAACAAAGAAAATAAAATGTATTTTCTGTGCCCTAATCGAAACGAATAAAAGGAAGTCAATTGGACACATCAATTGATTTAGCCTCGAAGAAAATGTCCCGCAGTCGCCGGGAAATGTCCGTGATGCGAGGAAATAGGAAGATGGGAATTCGTTCATCCGTTATAATAGTTATGACTACATTTAATGGTTCCCTTTGTTATTTAACTGTTTGGGACAAAATAAACATATTTACTATTGTTAGGAAGAAAATCCGACACTGTGCCTGTGTACTAACGCAACACTAGCCTTAATAAAATGTCGATGTAATAAAGTTTAAAACTATGTATATCATATAGAATAAACTAGCTTGGATATTATTATGAAGAGAATAGCTGAAAGCAGTTAGTCATTTCTAAAAATCCTTTTTATTAGATTTATTTTTAATTAAAAGACTTATGGGCGTAAGATCGTATTGCAGAGCCTCTTTAATAACTAAAAAAATCATACAACATTACAGTTAATAAGAGTAAGTAAGAGAATAACAAATTCTAATTAGAAAGAGTGAAGTAACATTGGAAGGACCTAACATAACGATTGATCATTAAAACCGGACATACGCAATAATTTGTTTAGTTATATATAAATTATTTTGTTATTTTAATCCTATATAATTCTCCCCAATACATATCCAACAATTTCGTAAACAATATATTTAATCTAATGGAACGACATCGCAGTTTTATAGCGTCATATATTCAAATGCGTAGCGATAATAAAATACCGTGACGTCATCATGAACATCAAACAGGGGTAGCTTTGAAGTTACGTAAGACAAAGGAAGTGATACAATTATTATAATCTTTAACTATTGAGTACTAGGCTAATAATATGAATAATTCGTGAATGAATTGACAATTATATAATTATAAAAGTTATCAATACCATATCCTTTATTTAGTTTATCCGTTAGTTTAGTTATAAAATAAAATGTAATTTCATGCCAGTATCCAGTGAAGTTTCAACCTTGACCAGATCAGACATCTTGTGACTACCCACGCTATTTCCTCTTATATAAAATACTTTATATGCATACAAGCATTTCGTAAAGTATATCCATATATTACGTGGGTGTATGGACGCTATCGGAAGAATATGAAATGGGCTGCATACGTGGGTGTCAACCCTTATGTATTTTATAAAATCCTTAAAGCTGTATCTCTAATACTTGAGTCTCTGTGATGAATAAAATCTACCATAGTTTCCATAGATATATGTACCTTTTAAACACAATATAAACTAAATTTTTTTGTCTAATAAATTCAATATGCGTTTTACAGAACAGTCTAACAGAGGCTCATAAAGATATGTTTTACTTTTAAGTTAAACTAGGGTTGGCACCTAAGACTTAGGACCTTTTTTTTGGGGAAAAGACAGGGTTGTGAGATTCTTACTCCGGGATCCCCAAAGGAACGCACCGGAACCCTTTGCACTGGGCTCATGCACGTCTCCAGGAAAAAACTTCCTCGTGCCTTCGCAGGATTCGGCAACACCGGACAACGCAATATTGCCGTCTTCTCGGGATAAGACTTAGGACATAGGGCTAGTCTTGAACTTTCGAAAAGTCACGTGATTATCGCGTGTTTGTGAATGATGAACTTTGTTTAGCCCCGAACAGCGAGACAATATCATACAAACAAATTATCCATTTCGTTTAACACATTTTTGTCGGAAAATTGTATATATCAATTGATTTATCGGCAGAGTAATCAATTGTGTATTGGATGTTCTACAATCAGCCGTCGTTTGGGATCAGTTTGTGTAAACATTTGCATTGCCGCCGCTGTGATTTTCCATCGTTTATTGCTTAATTAAACAAGTCAAGTCACATTCAAACTAAATGTGTTTTAATGTCTATATTACAACTATTGATAGATATTTTTTGAAGATATATTTAAGTTTGGAAACCTATTAAGATAAACTCGTTGGTTCGAAATTCGATAAAAATTCATGAATAAAGATTGTTTTTTAAATTAAAAATAGCTTCAGGGTACGCGTCTATTGGCCCGCGCCGAACGTACCGCACGTACGGATTAATCGGATTTGCTTTGTCTTTCAACGCGGGCGGTGCGGATCACACAAAGCAAACTAAAATCCGTTGCGTGCGTTGCGTATGGTACGTTCGAACGCGTACCTCTATGCACTAATTCTCCAAATTAACTATGTCGAATTAAAAACTTCATCAATTCCAGCAATTTTCTTAAATAAGCGTATTAATCAATTTAATCTTTTAATTTTTAATCTATATCTAGATAATTGTGTTAATATCTGAGGTCATACAGTAATAACTCGTATGACGAATGTCATACTAACCCCTCATCCGATTTACAACGCGGCGCTAAGCCAAAAAATGTAACGACATATAAATGGACCGAGCACACTAACGCCAAGGAATCTGTCGGCCTAAATTATTTGCACGACTTCATGTTGACCTAGTAATATGCAAAAAAACTTCTTTGTGCGTAAGATATTATTCAATTTGACAGCTGTTATATAAAGTTAGAAGTTATAAAAATAACCGTGTTTGATTCGTGCAAAAATATTCCACTTACCATTGGTTTCTGAGACCAACTTTGTATAAAACTTATCGAGATAACAATACGTATTAAACGCAGTTTTTGGTCTCAGAAACCCACGTTAAAGATAAATAATTTATTCCAGGCAAAATATTGAAAAGAATCGCTGATATAGACAGTTCTCTAAGCATTTTAATATAGCAAAATCTTATGTCTTACCGTTGGTTTCTGAGACCAAAATCTCTCTATAAAACATATCGTCGTCCATGTCATTATCTTTGACAAAGCAAAGATAACAATATGTTTTAAATAGTGGTTTTGGTCTCAGAAATCCACGGTTAGTGCGTCAACATTACCTGGTGATATTATCCTGTCTCTCAATGATGTTCTGCAGGCCCACAGCATCCCGCAGCTGAAACACCAAAGCAGCGCGCACCGCTTCCGCACATCTGTACTCTTCGATCCTCTCGGATAGCACCTGGACAAAATTACATATCATCATCTCCATGACCTTATCACACTCACGTAGGGTTAGCACACATAGTTTTATAAACCTTAATGTTTTGGCAATTTTTTTACGGTCAGCTTGACTATCGCCAACCCTACTTGCGAAACTTAAATACAATATTGCCTACACCCTCTTCCTCTTTGGAAGAATAGAGATAGCAATAATTTTGTCATGTGATTAGTGAAATTTCAAGGTCAAAGGTGATGTGATTTTATAATTTAAAATCTTTTCATTCCATTGAGAAAGTGTTTTTCTACAAAAATTTCGTATTTGTTAAAGGAAATTAAAACGTTCGTTGTCGCAGCAAAGAGAAATAAATATTAAAAACCGTGTGCTCGTTCTTTCGTTAATTACTGCACCAAAAACAAAGCTGGAAAGCGGAATGGAAATTACTTTGATATGCTCACAGAAACTTACACTAAGTAATTTATTTTTAATACTGTTTGTATAAAAAAAATTGTTTGAAGAAAATTTCTTACACGTTAATTACATAATTATTTCGAGATAAACACATACTATGTAGTATATATTTTACACAATCATTCATCTTTTCACTGAGATGAACATGTTATTATGAATACACGTACCTCAACATCATCAGAATACATCGGTGAAGACTTGAAGACATCCTTCTTTACCACAGCAACATAAGGTCCTTGTACACCACCAACAAACTTCTCAATATTGAAGAATAACGCATCCTTCCTTACCATACCTTCCTCAACACCAAGGAAAGTAGGATTCATATCCACATTGGAAGTCGGAGCTACGAGAGTGTAATCCCAGAAAGACCAAGCTCCGTACTGATGAAGAAGTAATGTGGTTGCAACATCATCAGCGAAAACTCCGGTTAATTTAGAAGCGGCAGGAAAGAAACCTATCATTCTTTTCCCAGTTCCAGTATTCTCTTGGAGTTTCATTTCCAAGTTGTTTAAATCTATGAAACCATCTTTGGATTCCGAGATTTTGATTATCTGGAAAGATAAATGCGGATTAGTATTATGTGTAAGTGACCAGTATTATTTTCAATGGACTGCGAATAATTATCAGTAGTAAGTTGATAATAAGATGATTTATAAAGAGTTGAAATAGACAGCTACAACGTCGCGGATCTTGGAATCGAATCCTAGTAACTAACAGTATTTCTTGGCTGGTTAATTGATACAAATTTATTAACCTGTAAAACTTAAATATTAGTATTAGCAATTGAATTTAGACTGCACTTTTAAATGAAAAAAAAAACAGAATAAACAATTACGATCGAAGTTTAAGAGAGGAAGTAAACAATTATCGCCATTGGAAATCTGGCGATGTGCAAATCAATACATCAGTGAATGAGTAAGCTATTACGATGGTGTCATAGTCTATTTTAGTCTATGGTACAACCAAAATTACGTTTCAAATAGCTACACATCGCAAGCTATCTGATTTGAAGGTTATTAACCTACCATTACTAAAAGATACTTCGTTCATAGACCGTTATTATTTCGGGCATTCGCAATCTGATAAGATTTAGAATAAATTACTGTTAATTCTACAAGCTATTGAATCGTGAAGTGTATAATAAACTAGCTGTGTAACTACGCGGAATCAAAATAAACTTAACAAGTAGCCTATGTGTTCTTCCAGACTATGTTCTATGTCTTAACCAAATTTGATCCAGTTCCGCTAAACCGGAGACATCTTCTAAACATTCTTCCATCTATCTAAACATTCGCATTTATAATATTAGTAAGTAGTAGTCTAAACGAGAACCACAGTAAATCACTAGATCTGTATAAGGTCGACCGTATAATATCGAAGTTATTATGGAAGGTTCATGTCAAAGCACAGTCTGATTAGCCTTCAGACACCACAACATTAATATACAAATTCTAATATTGTTTCTTTTATCACCAATGCTACGGAGAAAATTGTGAAAGAGGATATTCATGTGACGGCTAATAGAGATGTATGGAGGAGTACATACTATGCCGACCCTTAGGGCAGGTTAATGATGGCTATGGAGATAAAAGGACTTCCTTAAATTAAAATACAACCTCTACGGTACTTATAAGCAATTATATCCTTTCTTTAATTCTTGACATAAAGGTCTCCGACTCTTAATGCAAAGTTTATTTGTTTGTACTTTATACCAAACGGGCCAAGGTTCACCAAGTGATTACGGAAGGATAACTACCAAATATGGACCATCTAAGTTGAAATTATTTTGCGAAATATTTTTTATTGTTGTTCGTGATATTGTATTTCCTGTCCCCAATTTATGTTTCCTTATGTCTGGCTAATTGAGTTTATTTTTGTATTTTAATATTCGAATACCGAAATAATTACTTTCAACTGAAGTTAAACTTCGTGATATCGTAATGTTTTCTTTGCCAATTTAACTTTACTGGAGAAATATTTAATCACTAAATCTCGCCCGCGACTTCGTCAGCGCGGAATTAAAAAACCTAATTAGTAGCCAATGTGCTCTTCCAGACTATGTTCTATCTGTTTGCCAAATGTCAGCGAGATCCATGCAGCGATTTTGGAGATACCTTCTAACATCTATCCCTCCAAACATTCGCACTTTTATACGTTACTATGACGTAAGAAATGCGTTTAAAAGAAATTCAATTTAATAATATCAATTGAAGCGATCAAAAGCTTATCTGAAACATTCACTAAGTCGATATAGTGGAAGCCATGCAACGAATGAATTCAAATTACATTTGACTTATTATTATATATTAGTAAAAGAATTGTATTCTTCATTTTAGAAAAAGAGTACTGAATAGTTTACATCTTACTTCTTACTAATATCTTTCTCTCTCACTCAAGGTGCCTCTCCATTTAATGGAGGTTGGCCGTCAGCTCAGTGAACTTTTGCCGATCTGGTGCCAAGCGAAATAAATGCGAATGTTTTTATGGATGGATGGATGGGTTTGTTTGAAGGTATCTCCAGAACGGCTGAACGGATTTTGGTGAAATTTGGTACAGATATAGAACATAGTCTAGAAGAATACATAGGCTATTAAGTTTTTTTTTAATTCCGCGCATACGGAGTCGCGGGCGACAGCTAGTTTAATCTAAACTTTATACAAAATAAATACAGACAACTTAGCATTATTGGGATTCATAAGACTGTAAAACATTTATGCGACTGGTCGAGTAGAATGTAAGATTAGTCACGTTTAGCCTTAACCTCTAGTTTCCAGTCAATTACTTTAAAATTGATTTACAAAGGCTGAGTTAAAGCTTTGATTTAAACATTATTATAGATAATACTAGCAGTCGCCCGCGACTCCGTCCGCGCGGGAATAAAAATAGATGTTGGCCGATTCTCAGACCAACTCAATATGCTCACAAAATTTCATGAGAATCGGTCAAGCCGTTTCGGAGGAGTATGGGAATGAAAATTGTGACACGAGAATTTTATATATAAGGTACACTATTGATTAAGTAACCAAATAACTCTAAATACTAGGACAATCAGTCAGTTTCAGTCACAGTCAGTCAAAAAATCAGTTTATCATAGCAATAGCTAGTACATTATCTTACTAATATTATAAATGCGAATGTTTGTATGTCTGGATGGATGTTTGTTAGAACGTATCCCCGGAACTGATGCATTAATCTCGCTGAAAGCCATAGATGTAGAACATAGCCTAGAAGAACAGAAAAACCACTAAATAAGTTTTTTTTTAATACCGCGCGGGTGGATTTGCAGGCGACAGTTATTATAGATATAATGTAACTAGGAATTGCTAAGTTTTTTCCTAACAATGAACTATGATGCAAGCAATGATGTAGACTAAGAAGCCATTTTTCAGACTACAAGCGTTACAATGTAAGAACACTTGAAAAACTTATAATAATTTTATAAAAGACGTACAACCTGATTTTACTAGCTTAAGCTCTATTTCCACGATGCAATTGTTAATAATTTTGTTAGTTCTTTACGTAATACTAAGAATCGAATTAAATTACAAAATATAAAAGGAATGCTTATCGATTATTTTCATACGAACGTTTGTCCTTCGTTATATAAATATTGTCGAGACATATTTAAATTATTCCTACTATTTGTAATTAAGAGTTCAATAGGCAAGTTTTGACTGACGACTGACCACGATGAACTTTTGTGACCCTAGTAAAGGAATCTAGTTGTTTTACTGTGAATTTCCACTGCCAGAAGATCTTTAGAAAAATATATTGTGATTCGTTTCTTTCTCTTCGAAAGAAAAGACATAAAAATATGTTTTAATACTAATCTTTATACTGTGGAAACTCACACTTAGAATAAACGCTGAAAAAAACAGTGAATATTGTTGACTGACTTTTTACTATTCAAAATAGCATTTTACTACTAGCTGACGTCCGCGACTACGTTCGCGCAATATTAAAAAAACCTTTTTTTTTTATATTAAAAAAACCTAAGAAATCTATGTGTTCTTCCAGACTATGTTCTATATGTATGCCAAATTTAATCAAAATCCGTTGTGCCGTTCCGTAGATACCGTTCAAACAAACATCCAACCAAACATTCGCATTTATAATATTAATAAGATATACGACAGAAACAATAATGTTGTTACAATACAAATAAATCTAGTATAATATCGCTTCAAAATGAGCGATTTCTACACTTTGCTCGTGTGCATTGTAACTGATAATAATAGGAATTTGCCGATCGTAACACTCAAGTACGTACATAACCGATAGGGATTGTCAATTCTTAATGTGATATATAAAAAAAAAACATTTTTACGAAATATCGCATTAACTCCTGAATACCGGGATTTGGAACAATCTATGATGTCTAAATAACATATAATAATATATAATAAAAAATAAAAAACTCTCTTCTAACATTGTTGGTTACCATACGGCTTGATCAATTATTATTAAATTTTATATGACATTCAATAGCTTTGTGAATCGGCTACAATATATTTCTTAATCCTGCGCGGATGGAGTCACGGGCGACAGCTAGTATTAATTTAAATACAGATTTGTTAATAAAGCTTGTGCTAATGTAAATTTATTTAAAAGAAAAGACGTGAAAATTATTCACTTCCCTCCCCCTTTACTCTACATGTTCCCCTTTTTCGTAACTTTACTACTAGGATAATGCAACACAACTTTTATCGTTTTTTAAGGGTTACCTCTAAAAAATATTTTATTTCTAAGTGGCAACCCTAAGCATATAAACAACTGTTGTGACAACCTTGAGTTTACGTAATAGGTGCGATTGTGCAAAGTTATTGAAGGACGTGACCAAGATGCACAACGCACATTAATACACAGATAATTAAAAAAAAACATTACCGTATTAAAACTATAGCACGTATCATAGGTCAGTGTTATTTAGGTACTTTTAAAAATATTGTAGACAAAGCAATGAGTGTCCACGGGTGTTATCTATTGGGCCGATTGAGTTTATAAAATCAAACTGACCAATGGAATTGTTTGATTCTATAGGTTCGATCAGTAAGCCAATCGGCCCAACGGGAATCATCGGTTACGACTGGCGATTCCACTTTCGTTCTTTTATTTATCTTTGGATAGATATATAGAATATACTAGCTGTCGTACGCGACTCCGTCCGCGCGGGAATAAAAATAGATGTTGGCCGATTCTCAGAGCTACTCAATATGCTCACAAAATTTCATGAGAATCGGTCTAGCCGTTTCCGAGGAGTATGGGAACGGAAATTGTGACACAGGAATTTTATATATAAGATATAAATAAAATATAAAATACAGATGTTTGAAAATTGGCGTAAATTTTGCTGATTTTTAAAAATACCGTCCCAGAAAACTATTTTAATACCCAAAGTCTTTGTTTAACGAATGGAAAGGAACATAAAATGTTTGTTATATTTCCTAATAACAACATAATTGCTATAATTTCGTTATTATTGCAACATTTACACAACAGCAATAAATAACAAAATACAAGACGCAGGTATGCTATAAAAAAGAATGTCATGTTTCTATGACATTTTAATAATAAATAAAAATAAATGGATGGAATTTTGTTTGAAGGTATCTCCAGAACGGCTGTATGGATCTCCCTGAAATTTAGCATAAATGTATTATAGAACATAGTCTGGAAAAACATATAGGCTACTAATTAAGGTTTTTTTTAATATCATGCATAGTGATCTCGGGATTTAAATACATGCGTTCACAATTATCGAATTATTTTTAAATTTATTCTACACATAAAAATGTCTATGAACGCATAAAATAAATTAATTTGATGTCGCATTATTTATGGAAGCAAGTTTAGTAATTCATTCAGCAACTGTCTCGTAATATTAAAATAAACTTGGTATTTTTGATTTATACAGGTTGAAATTGCATCAGTGATGTCCATGAACCATTTATAAAATTCATATTCAGGTATATTATATATTGTTTATGTAAAACGGTAAGACAGGTCCAACATCTAGTAATAAATAGAATCAAAAGAAACTAGTAATAAATAAAGACTATGTTACTCAGAAATAGTAACGCTTTAATGGCAAAAGTATTTTTGAAGTCAGTCCAGTAATTTTTGATCGTACTCGTTACATAGTATGTTTTAACAGTGCTTAATGAAAATTATTAAAAAAAAAATTAAGCCCTGTATCCACTACAATATACTAATGATGAAGAATATAATTACTTTATATAAATACACAAACTTTACTAGAGTTTCACCTTTAACATTCAAGATATCTTAAACATTAGAAAGAAATTCTTAGACAAACATTTTGTGGCATAACCTTTCTAATACATTTCAAGGAACTATCCTACTTTGGGGATGAAATTTTCTTATTACACTTCTTAGTAAAACAGGATAATATTTGTCTCCCCAAACACGTGATCACTATTTCTGTTACATTAGTATAATCTACAAAAGAAGCAGTATGCTCACCTCAGCATTAAATTCTTTCCAAGGTGCGAGCTGACGTTCAGTCTCTCTCGACGACACGAAGAGTGCAACCCTCTGCGGTCGTAACGCGCGCAGCAGCCGCGGTAGAGACGCCCCGAGCACGATGACGTCATCAGAACTAGCACCGATCGCTGCGCCGATTATAGCTTTTGACTCTGACCTGATGGAAAACATTTAGTTAGACAGAGATTGTCTTTGGTGATCTTTAACATATAAATAAGTCTATAACTAGGGTATCGCGAGGAAGGGCGCCTCATAAGTTCTATGGAAAATTTCTCATCCGACCCCCAAATAAAAGGAGACGTCGTAAAAATGTCGCCCAGGGAGCCGGAAATGCTAAAACTGCCCCTGGTTGAAGATATCCTACACTGCGTAAAAATACATTACTCATTCTAGATAAGAGTTGTGCTATTCTTTAAATCGTAGCGTAAGTAAATACGCGTTGTATAGTATCGAAGATGAGACTGATATCAATAGATAACTTACCTATATATCTCGCTCTGTCCGGATGTGTATGATAGAGCGGTGCACCGCGTCGCGTGCGTTGGCAATACATCACGCACGATATACCCTTCAATCCAGTGCAGCGCTCGTCCGGAGCCATTGTAGTCGCAGTATACAACTGGAGACAAACATTACTATATTAATATAGATATATTTAATACTAGCGTTGATGCTACGACATAAACCTTATTTATCTTACTAATATTATAAATGCGAATGTATGGATGGATGTTTGTTAGAAGGTATCAATATAATGGCTGCATTCTTTTATTGTGATTAATACAATATTACAAATAGTTAGCAAGAAAACCTTTTAACATTAAAAACTTTCGTAAATTAAATTTATGTTTAAGTAAAGTTATAAAAAGAGTGAATCTTATAGTCCAGCCATTCATTGCTTGCAGTACAATTAACATAAAGTCTAAGGGTATGAACGAAGCCAACTAGGGTTGCGTCATGTCAGAAAATATGTTAATTCTTGAAGTACCTACATCAAAAAACTGTGTTTTATCTGGTACTTTAGTGCTTAGGAATACTTCCATGATGTCATTCAAATGTTTTGAGTTTTTTTTTTGTTTCCTAGCTTGTACGGTTAAGTATTAAAAAAAATTATTCTAGACTTGCTGTGTCCGGGCGGAATTAAAAAAAAACAGTAGCATATGTGTTCCTCCCGACTGTATTTTACATATGTACAAAATTTCATCGAGATTCATGCAGCTTATCTGGAGATTCAAACAAACGTTCATCCATCCATCCATCCAAGCAGTCGCATTTATAATATTAGTAAGATCAACTCACTCTAATTTTCAGTATTATTTTAAATAAAAATTAGTTTTTCGCAATAATCTCTAGAATTATTTAGCAACCCTATAGAAATAGGAGTGCCAGGGTTCGTCGAACTTGTGTGCCAATGTCATACAGGTTGGCCGGGCAGCCGGGCAGCCGGGCAATGGACAAAAAATGACTATCAGTGATGCGATATCTCGCATTGCGCATGTTAATGTAAGTGACATACAAAATGGCGCGCTTTTAAATCATATTGACAACATACGGCATAGATTAAATAACGTACTGTCAGTTTTGGTCAATAAAGGCGCGAAAATTAGCGTTGGGAAAGTTTATTTGCTTATAATATGTGTTTAGTTTTTAATTATTAAACTCGTGTTAATGGTTTCGTTTTCTGAGTAGAATTTATAATTTTAAGCGTCAAAACACTTTATACCACGTTTAGATATATTTTGTGCGGTATTTTGCAGCTTAACGTTCTTTTTGCAATATATACGCAAAAGCTTATATTATTTTTCATCTTTTTAAATCAAACTAGAAAAAAAAACAGAAACTGGGACTTTAAAATAAATAAGACACATAAATCTAGTGGAAATATAACGTAAAAACAAGAGGTTACTTTTATATTCAGATTTTTAACTTTGTAAAATAACATTGAATGTAGGAAGTTGGCAACACTTTGAGCCATTAATCAGATAGCACAGTTTTGGCTGAATATCACACGATCTATGAAAATTTAAGTTTGCATTTAATAAACTGTTACGTCTTATCAAAACACATGAACAGGACATGACATTATGTGAAAAAAAACATAACAAAACAACACAATATGACGGCTCTGTGGCAATGTTTTGAAATTAAGAGGGAGGCGCTAGTGAGGTATAATAATTAAGTTTTACTTACTAAGTATTTCTACTAGCGAAATCTAAAAATTAATACATAAACCTATAGTTATCTCCGGTTTTTTATGAGAAGTATTAGAATATGTTTCTACACATGTGTTTCGACAATGGAAACTCATAGTAAGTTCAATTACATAACAATGCAGTTGCATAATAGAATTACGAGTGTTGATTTTATATCAAGATATAAAACGTGTCATTTATAAATTATTTAACACGGAAAAATTGCAAACATTATAAAGATACAAATAATAAATACTATCTGTAAATGAAACGCCAAGGCCTTGTTAAAGTAACTTAATCTATCACTAAGGTTAAAAAAATATTTTTCTATTGCCCAAGTCAACAAAGTCTACTATTTTAAGGATTGCTTCCACGTATTCGGGTGGCCGTTTGCTCGTTTGCCAGCTTATGACAAAAAAAAATAAAAAAAAGGAACCGAAAAACTGTTAAGCGCTTATAGCTATATTTATATCATCGTCAGCCCACTATACGTCCCCACTGAGTTGGAAAAAAATAAAAAATATTTGTATGTTTTAAATTATTCAAGTCAGTCAGTCAGTGAGCTGAGGGCCGCGTCCGCGAAATAATACCATTTTTTTTTTCAGAGGGGAATGCTTTATGCATACTCCGCGCCCCGGGAAGGACGCGGTAGTTATGTGGGATTCTCCTCCATAGCGGAGGCATACCCACTAAATCCCTCTGTTCCTCCAACGCATCGGGACGGGACCACGGGCACGCTTTCGCTCTCGTCCGCGGCCAATACCAGTCCCACTCAGCCTGATGAAGGGCTCCCGATGGGCTCGAAACTAGTCGGTGCCGCCACCGAACCAATATACGTGAGTGTTTAGCCGTTTTTATATAAGTTTGTTATATGTTTTAGGTAAGTTATACTTGTCTGTTGTTAATTATTAAACGTTAAAAAGCCGTTAAATTATATTGCGGTCGTTACATTTGTTTATATATGTCACGTTTTCCAACACGTCGCTACTGCGCCATTGTCTATTTACTAGCCTAGTACATCTAATTGTGGACATGGAGCTAAAATAATATTGAAATTTAAATCAATTGTGGTAGAGTCTGCAGAAACAATAAACTAACGAACCCGCAACTTCCACAGAACAGAATTAAAAAAGTAGCCTTAATTCAGTATAACCATTTCGCAGATTATCAGGAGTAAACGAGGATTTGCAGACAGGCAGAAGACTAAATGGTAATGAAATTGTTAGGTCATCTATCTATAGATAGGTAAATGACCAAACTATTTGAAAACACTGATAAAAACCCTATATAAGACTTGGCTTAGTCTTGTTGTGCTTTGAGATGTTATTACACCTATTCATTTCCATTTCCTTACTTCTCCTTATTTCTCCTTAACAAAGTCTGTTTACCCAAGTTCCGATTGTGGGTAATCTTTATAATAATTGGTAAAACTAATAATGAGGACTAATGGAGCGTCGGTGGGTCAGGGATCAAGCACTTGACTTGCAATATGCAAGTCCTGAGATAGAATCCCGCCATGTACCAATGTGTTTTTCGATTTCCGATTTACATATGTTTATATATATATATATATGTATATTTATCCGACGTTCTTACGGTGAAGGAAACCATCGTGATGCAATCTGCACATATCTGAGAAGAAATTCAAAGATATGTGTGAAGTCAATCTCAACCCGCACTTCGCCAGCGTGATTGAAGTGGTTAGTATGGCTTAATCACCCTTTACTTAGGGTAGGCTCCGAGCCCCTCGGTGGGGACGTATAGTGAGCTGATGATGATGAATACAGAGGTAATATATAATCAATGTATTGAGTAATGGTAATAAGTAAGTAAATAAGAATTACAATAGGAAATATGTGACTAAATTCGAACTAAATTACAAACAATTTTCTCTACTACTAAAACAAAAGCTAGGATAACGATGGATAGTTAAATAGCGGCTATTTAACATCCACTACCCACTTAAAGTTAATTAAATTAAACAATTACACAAAAAAACAAGGACATTTACTCGGGATGAGCATGTGAATTAACAGATAAACATTGTACAGATTACTTCGAGCAAACATTAAATGTATGCGAAGATAATATTTGAGACGCCGCAGCGGCACTCGTCAAATACGTGATATCACATGCTACAATGTGACCACATGTTTTTAATTGCACATCCCAACAATAAAGCTGGGATATGGCGGTTTGTTTTATTATATTAAAAGAGCAAGCGGTTACCTAAATCCGGCGGAATGGCGAAGAGAATCCTGCCCATCGAAATCCGTTGCGTTACCTACCTTTGATCGACAGTGAAGGAAGGACAGAAAGAATATATTTATCCTTACAATGCGACGATTTATGTATTATATTAAAAACGTGAAAAGGAAATAGATTAAGACATTTTGTTCAGGAAGATCGTGTGGATATATACTCTTATGTTATATTAAAATATTTACAGTATACAAAGTAAATTTATCTTAATCATTGTCGTTTTAACACGAGAATGCTTGGGGAGGTAGGCGCCCGGGCGCCATCACAGGACATCGTTTAAAGGCGCCAGATTGATTATCACACCCCGGCGCCAAGTGAATACGACCCTGATCTTAAAAGATTTAGAACATTTCCATTTTTAAAAGATTTGTAACAGTGATTTCTCCTCATTTTCTTCCTTCTAACATTAAACAAATACGAAATAAAAATATCTAAAAACGTGAACGTTAATGATAAGGTTTTTATCATTAAGCTTATCGTATTATTTATAAATATACACAGATAAAGAATGTACAATCTAAAACTAGATTGAAAACGTAATATCACAAAGTCACATCTAGTCAAATTAAAGATCTTGCCCTTCGAACAGGGAGAAATTTTGCATTTGATAAGAAAAAGTTATTTCAAGGTTACTTAAGTAAGTTTTTTTCAAATATTTTAAAACCATAGCTGCTTTTTGAGAGCTTCAAACACCGACCTCTCTACATGGATAGGCTACATACCTTGTTATTTTGTGCGTATTCGATCATCACTATTTTGTTGTGAATTCGAAGACTCGAGGATTCAAACTTATAATAGAGATAGAACTAAATGACAGGAACTTCAACAGGCTTATTTAAGTCTGTAATTTCCAAGCAATAGCCCATTCATATATAGAGATCAATTTCAAAAGAGGATAAAAGTGATGGCATTATAATGTCAATGGAAAATCACAGTACGAAGTTTCTATAAATAGGAGACCGCTTGTTATAAATACATTATAGCATCAAGATGTCAAACAGACGGACAGTGTAACAGACGGACGTATTGCGGTCCGTCAAGGCATTGGCAATGAAATGCACGTTCCATAACAAACCTCGACATCTTGATAATATAATAGTTATGTAATGTATATACGCCGCGTAATTGTTTGCAGATCTGAAGTTAACGGTAAAACAGATGTTGA